CTCTTTGGCTTGGTCTCAGCTGTAGGACAGCACTGGTGATGAAAACACAGGTAACAGTGATTTCCACCATTCCCTGCCTGGCCATATTGATTATTCTCTTTGCTTTTCCACACTTTTGTTTTGCCATTAATGAGACATTCATTATTCCATATTGAGCTTTATACAGCAACCCGTATGTAAACTTTAATCTCTGCCTGAAGCTCTTACCAAAAAATATTGTTTTGCAAAGCAGTGGCTGGTGAGAGAGTGTATGGCACAGAACAGAAGAACATATGAAAGAGAAGCATATAAAAAAGATAGTTTTCAAGGTTACACTTCAAAATAGAAAGAGTCAGGAGTGTTAATGAAGCAGAAACAGTAGGGGGACATTTTGTTTTTAAGTACCTTAAATATTTAAATAGATTTCTTATTTTAGAAAATGTACAGTTTCAAATTAATTGTGTGCATAATTATCTAAGGGCTTTGTTTAAAATGGCAGTTACAGTGTGCATATCATTTCTCAATAGTGTGCTCTATGAATTTCCAGATTCTCCCGTATACAAGTTTAGTGGAACCTGGTTACCACTGACTGACTGCTGCTTACCTTGGTCCCTCCCTCCAGTGCATGCCTGGTGTCAGGAACGGCGGAATCTCCCTGAAACTGAGGGGGCCACTAGTGCCTGGATTGTGGCCCCGTCTCCCCGCACTGCCCTTTCTCCCCGAGCCCCTGCCTTCACATTGCCATTTCTCTGCAAACCCTGCCCTCACACCCCCCATCCCCCTGAGGCCTCATCCTCACACTGCTCCTCCTCCCCAAGCCTCTGCCCCCGCACACAGCCCATTCCCCCCGAGGCCTCACCCCGCCTCTTCCCCTGAGGCCCTGCCCCCCACTTGCTCCTCTCTGCCTCCTTCCCTCCATCACTCCCCCTTATGGCCAGTAAAAATTGATGGGGCCATGGCCCCTGGCTCCCCCTGTTCCGACACCCTGCTTTGTGTGTTCAATTACACATTTTGCATGGCTGACATTCCACAAAATGGCTTCCTCCATATGGTGCGTGTGGGGTCATGCTGTTCAGATAACAGCATTTTAAATGGCATCCTCCATGCTCATTCAGGGGCTGGATGTAATCTGCCCGCAGGCTCCCAGTTTTTTCTGCAGCATGCGTTGCATGCACAGATGGCATGCCCCTCTCTGGGAATATGTTCCTAAAATATTTATTGGAGGCAGAATTGATTAACAAGTTTGCCCTAGACAAAGGAATTTTGACTTACCTGTCTGCCTTGGAAACTGTTTTGCATCAAACATCGTTAAACCAGCACAAAGGATGCTTCATTTGCATTTTAGGTCAACAGAAGAACAAGGTATCAGGAGGACGAACAAACAACATGGCGTCAGCTTCCTGAAGCACAAACAGCAGGGGAGAAAAACCTTATTTGGGGATGCACTTCAAAATATATTTTTTCATTATATTACTGGACTATAAGAAGCAGGGGCGAGAATCCCTTAGTTACCCATCACTTAAGGGACAAAGGGACCAGGGCTCCTAGAATCTGTGAAAGGTGGATCCCTCAGCCATGTGGGTTAGGGACACTGAGAACTAACTGCAGGTGAGACAGTGTCTGAGATCAGGATTGTCATTTACTAAGTTTTAGACACTGGAAAGCAGGTTTTATTTTTGTTTTATTTGTGGCCACTTCCTGTTTCTATTATCCTTGCTTAGAATCACTTCCAGCTCTGTTCTTGATTAATAAACTGATTTTTGGTTTTGCCATAAAATTATCCCAGTGCTGCGTATTGAAGTAATGTGTGGGTCTTCAGCTGAACTGATAGGCTGGTGTCTGCACTGTCTCTTTGGAGACAGTGGACTTGGTATTTTTGTGGGCATCCAGTGAGGGGGCTGGATGCTGCAGAGGAATGCTCTTCCAGGGGGGTTGGGAACTGGGATGCACTGACTGTTACCTGCAAGGCAAAGTTAAGACTGGCAGAGTCTCAAGGTGTGTACTGAGGAGGTGGACAGACTGGTGTGGCAGGGAGTTGACAGGCTGTTTAAGCTCCAGCAAAACTGTCTCTGGCTGAGGCAGAGGGGTAAGACTCTGGCTCCTGGTTCTGAGAAAGCATCCCACAGGGATAGATAGACAGGGCTGAATCAGCAGGGTCAGGGCGGTGTTGCATGTTTGAATTTAATAACGATTCAAGTCTGGCAAATAGGCTCCAGTGGAATTATTTAATCAAAGATTGTCAATCAGAGATCAGTACAGCACTATACAGAAGGAATAGATACATTACCACCCTTGGTGTCAGGTAAAGAGCTGGCCTCTGTGTCTCTACCAGTTTTTACTCCCCAACCTAATTTTCACGCCTTTTGTCTTTTATAGAGTGTGACACAGAGAAACTCCTTTTTGGAGAGAAAATTGTTTCCTGTGATTAATTTCACCATGTGTTCTGTTTTTGACATTACTGATGGAATTTCTTTTATGGTGTTCAGTTTGCCTGATTGATGAGTAAAAAGGAATCTCTAATCTGGTTTCTAACACTGTAGAAACTGATGGTTTTTAATGAGTTAGAAACATCTTTCAATGGGTCATTATTTCATCTGATAACATCTGATAACAATTATCCCTTATCAATCACCCAGTTTTGTTTATTACATACTTCTGTAGACTTTTTAAGTAGCTTGAAGGTGTCTTTTCCCTGGACACCTGGATTCCCACGGACCTGAAGATGCTGAGGATAATTAGATACAGCTCAGCTCCATAAAGATTTTTTTGAGAATTATTAGTACGTGAATGAATTTAACATACAAAAAGGAAAAGGGGACTAAGAGGGTTAATATTTACTAACAATGGTGTTTCACAGGGCAAGGTGGAAGGGACAGGGCTACCCACTAAGATTCTTGGGTTTGAGCTTTATCTTCCTGTGTTTACTGTTAACCAAAGTCATTAGGAGTTTAGCTGGAGGAGCGTTCAGGAAGGCGCAGACATGTATGGTACCTGATTACCTGGGAAGACGGAGTCCAATTCCTTGGACTTTTCTGTTAATTGATAACCTGCTCCCTTGCCAGCCTGTGGCACAAAGAAATGGGAAGATTTCTGTGAGCACAAGAGCCAGGGAATCGGTATTCAACCCTCACAAGAAGGACCAGGTGTCTGTGGTGAGTCACTTGCTAATAGGGTCTGCATGGGGCTGGAGCCAATGGTGAATGGGGTCACCAGGACCTGAGGGTCATGGGGCAGGGCTCCAGCTCTGCTAGAGGGACGGGGCGAAAATGGGAGAGAGAAGGGAATGGGAAACATGAGGATTACAGCAGATGGCCAGGCTGAAGGGGCAATAGGAAAGGTCAGTACCAGGGCAGGGGACAGAGGATGTGGAGGCTCTGGGTTGGTGGTGGTGTTGTGAGGATAGGGCTTGGTTTGAATTTAGTGGACTCTTATGGGTTAGGTTGACAGTACAGAATGTGCCATTCTCTGGGTTCGCCTACATTTGAAAGGAATTTTGGATGAACTTGAGGTTTTTCAGGACAAACAGGACTGATAAACTTCAGGAAGAACCCAAATTTTCTGAACTATCTGGTGTCTCATTCCATATTGATGCCACCGCTTTGGAAGCTCATTCACTCAAATTCAGAAGGTGTCATTTTGAGCAGTGGGGTAGGCGAGGCTGCATCTTCTGTGCATGGTGGCATTGGGACAGCCTGCAGGAAAAGGTAAAGAGCTGAGGTCAGAGATCTGGCTCTATTCCTGTTTTCCCCCCTGTATGACCCTGAGACAGTCCCTTTGTCATGCTGTTCTATGCAGTGGGGATAAAGGCACTTAGCAGCCTGTCAAGGGCTGCACACATTGTGTCTGGCAGGACTCTGGGCAGCCCAGTGGACAGAGTCACCAGCCATTAACAAATCCATAGGCGAAGTGTAAGTGAGTGCACATGTGCATTAGTCAGCAGGGTTTCTAGCTTTTGCCATTTCATAGATTCCAAGACCACAAGGGACCGTTGTAATCATCTGGTCCAGTGGTGTGCAAACTTTTCCAGTCAGCCCCCCCCACCAGTAACAGCATCTGTTTGCGCTCCTCCTCCAATACTGCACAGCCAAGGCTTCCTCAGCGGCGGAGCTGGGGGCGGAACTGGGGACGGGGGAGGAGCTGGGGCTAGAGGCAGAGCTGGGCTCAGGGCAGAGAGGGAATGAGGACAGAGCTGGGCTGGGGGCGGAGCAGGGGGTAGAGTGGAGCTGGAGGCGGACCTGGCCTGAATGCGGAGTACGACTGGGTCTGAACAGGGTTGAGGGTTGGAACTGGTCTGGGCGCGGAGCAAGGTTGGAAGTGTGGCGCTCCCTCCCTGCCCCCTGTGGGGGCTGGCCTTGCTCCCACTGTGCACCCCCCCAAACATTCCTCCATGACACCCTAGCAGGGCACGCACACAGTTTGGGGACCACTGATCCAGTCTGATCTCCTATGTAACACAAGCCAAAGAACTTCCTCAAAATAATTCCTAGACCAGGGGTCGGCAACCTATGGCATGCATGCCAAAGATGGCACGCGAGCCGATTTTTAATGGCACGCTGCTGCCTGCCCGAGTCCCAAGGACACGCAGCCAGTGAGGGGCAGAGCCCGCGCTGCCCCAGAGAGGAGCCGCCTCAGCGGCCTGCCTGTGGGCTCCCGCGTCCCCTCACCCGGCGAGGAGCCCTGCCTGGGGGCACGGAGGGGCCGCTCACCTGGGCCGCCTTGGTATAGCTGGCCATGGTGGATTGGCGGCGCGCCGGGGGAGCGGGTTCGCTGCCGGACCCGGTCCCGACTCCTGGCGGCAGTAAGCGGGGGCGGTGGAGGCGGGAGAGGCCGGCGGCGGCAGCAGCGCCGGCTGCTGAGCGTCCCCGGGAGGAGGTGCCCGGCCGCGGCCATAGATCGGTACTTGCCGGGAGGAGCACAGAGCCCCGCGGCCTGGCAGCGCTGAGCGCACAGCAGATGCGGGCGAGCGGGAATCGGTGGTGGCCAGAGATCCCTGGGGCGAGGAGCTCGCATACCACGGGGTCATGCACTGCCCGGAGTGGCTCCTCCAGACACAGCCAGAGGGGACTCTCTCACCAGGGGGCACTAGTTGCGCTTGTGCGGTGCGCCGCGGGGCCCTGAGTGGGTGAGCCAGCTGGGGGCCGCGGGAGGTGGGGGGAGCCCTCTGTCCTGACCCCCCCC